GGGGGGGGGGACACCCAGGCAGGCAACACCACCCACCGCGCCGCTCACCGTGCCGTCTGGGCTCCCTTCGCCAGGCGGCTACTACCCCGTGAAGATCGGCGACCTGTTCAATGGGCGGTACCACGTGGTGCGCAAGCTGGGCTGGGGCCACTTCTCCACCGTCTGGCTCTGCTGGGACATCCAGTAAGCACCCCCTCCAGCCCCCCTCCAGCCCCCCACCCAGGGCCCAGGGTCAGCTAGGAGCCTGCCCCTGGGCTTGGGTGGGGCCACCACGATGCCCCCATGGGTCGGGCCGGGCGGCAGCCGATGCAGGCCTTGGTGTTGCAGGCGCAAGCGCTTCGTGGCCCTGAAAGTGGTGAAGAGCGCGGGGCATTACACGGAGACCGCCGTGGATGAGATCAAGCTCCTGAAATGTGTGAGGCGCCTCCCTCCCGGCTCCCGGCTCCCGGGCAGGGCGGGGTTCCCGCAGGGGCGGGCTCCAGCTGGCTGAGCCCCGGAGGACCTGCAGGAGCAGGCCAGGGAGGGGGAGAGGAGGGCCAGAGGTGCCCCGGGGGTGCCGAAGGGAGCAGCTGGTGCGGGGCAGGTTGGAGCCATTCGTGGCCCCTTTGCTCCAGGTCCGAGACAGTGACCCCAGTGACCCCAAGAGAGAGACCATTGTCCAGCTCATCGACGACTTCAGGATCTCAGGGGTGAATGGAGTCCGTATCCTTCCCACGATGAGCTGAGCCATGTGGCAACAGCTGCCGTCCCAGCTGCTAGGGCCTCAGTCTCCTGATCTGCACGACGGGGGCTTACCCTCCCAGGGACACTAGTCTACACACTAGCCCACCGCTTTGGGGGTTTGTGTCTATGTGGCGGGGGGAGGGGGGTGGATGACCAGGCGGACACTGGTTACCCACGGGCATTGCTGACTTACCCCCCACACGGCAGGGGCCGCCTCTGTGGCGGTGCCCTGTCTCAGGGATAAGCACAGAAGGTCACCATCCCAACTGGCACATGGGAGAGGGACAGGGACACTGTAGTGACACCGGAGCCTCAGGTGGGTGGCGCCTGCGCCCCAGCTGTGTGTCTGCTGGCCGCCCTTCACTCCGAGCCCCAGATGTGTGCATGGTGCTGGAGGTCCTGGGCCACCAGCTCCTCAAGTGGATCATCAAGTCCAACTACCAGGGCCTGCCCGTGCCCTGCGTGAAGAGCATTGTGAGGCAGGTGAGCATCCCGTGCTCTGCGTGAGCAGGGTGGGAGGCAGCCTGCACAGGGCCGCTCAAGTGCAGGGGTGGCTCTCCCCAGGTGCTGCACGGCCTGGACTACCTCCACACCAAGTGCAAGATCATCCACACAGACATCAAGCCTGAGAACATCCTGCTGTGTGTGGGTGACGCCTACATCAGGCGCCTGGCCACCGAGGCCACAGAGTGGCAGCAGTCAGGGGCACCACCCCCATCCCGCTCCACAGGTAGCAAGAGCCTGTGTGGGTCCAGGGTGGGGCCTGTGGGCCTCAGCCCCTGCCTGAGTCTCTGCTCCTTTCTCTCCCCCCAATGCCCCACCTGCCCCCCCAGTCAGCACTGCCCCCCAGGAGGTCTTGGTAAGTTGGGGTGCCCCTCTTTTCCTGGGCCTCATCTCCCCATCTCCTCAGAGCTCCCTCCTCGGCCTCTCTGGTCCCGCCCCCTCCCCACCTCCCTGCCCCCCTGCCCCCCCCCCGGGGTGAAGGTGATACACAGGGTGGGTCACATGCCCTAAAATGCCCTTGGTGGCCGCCTCAGTGGAAGGACACTGCATCTACGGCCAGGAGGGGAGGCCAGCGCCCAGCCAGAGGCAGGCCCATCAGCTCCTCCCCAAACTCGAGCTTTGGGGAGCGTAGTGGGGGAGGGAGGCAGGAGGCAGGTGAAGGGCTAGTGCCAAGGGGTGGGCTGGAGCGGCGTGGCACCACATTTACTCATCCAAAGTAGCCCGGGGTGGGGGGGCAGTGCCTGGGTGGCTCCGTAGGTGGAGCATCTGCTTTTGGCTCGGGGCTCTGGTCATGGTCCCAGGGTCCTGGGATCGAGGCCCGCATGGGGCTCCCTGCTCAGCGGGAAGCCTGCTTCTCCCTTTCCCACTCCCCCTGCTTGTGTTCCCTCTCTCGCTGTGTCTCTCTGTCAAATAAATAAAATCTTTAAAATCAAAAAAACAAAGTAGCCCTGGGGCCCGTTGGCCTTGGCCCCCGTGAGGCGAGCAGGCCACAGGTAGAGGCTTGGGCTGGTCAGGGGGTGGGAGACGCGAACCCGGGGCTGACCCTGGCTCTGATGGCAGACCGGTAAGCTGTCGAAAAACAAGAGGAAGAAGATGCGGCGCAAACGGAAGCAACAGAAGCGGCTGCTGGAGGAGCGGCTGCGGGACCTGCAGAGGCTGGAGGCCATGGAGGCGGCGGCCCAGGCTGAGGGTGAGGGGCCGGAGCGCGCGCCCGGCAAGCGCAGGCCACCGGGGCTGACTGCTCACACACCCCCTCTGCCCATCTCCCCAGACGCTGGCTCGAGGCTAGAGGGGGGCAGCGGCTCCACCTCCTCTTCCGGCTGCCACCCTGGGGGGGCCAGGGCCGGCCCCTCCCCCGCCTCCTCCTCCCCGGCGGCCGCGGGCGAGCGCAGCCTCAGCCCAGGCTCCCAGACCTCAGGCTTCTCGGGCTCCCTCTTCTCTCCGGCCTCATGCTCCATCCTCTCAGGCTCCTCCAACCAGCGGGAGACCGGGGGCCTCCTGTCCCCCAGCAGTAAGTTGGGCAGCGCCTGCGGGAGGGCTTGGTGGGAGGGTGGCAGGGAGTTGGCAGATGGGGGTGGGGCCCAGCCAGCTCAGTCTCTCCCCAACCTCTTCCTTCTCCAGCACCGTTTGGTGCCTCGAACCTCCTGGTGAACCCCCTGGAGCCCCAAAATGCAGACAAGATCAAGATCAAGATCGCAGACCTGGGCAACGCCTGCTGGGTGGTATGAGCTGGCCTGGAGAGCAGAGCTGGGCACCCTGCTGTGAGGGCAGGGTCGCAGGGCCGCAGGCCCGCTCCGGAGGAGCCCGATGGGGCCTGCAGTGCCACTCGACCAGACCCCAGGGTCTGCCTCATGACGCAGACCCAGGACTGAGCCCAGACCAGCATCGGTCCCATCCAGTCAGCGGAACTGGACCCCATTGCAAGGGGCGGGGACCACTGGGAAGAGGCCGGTCCCTCTCGGGACCTCTGGGGACCCTGAGGCTCAGAGCGAACCCCACTGAGCTCCTTGGGTACATGGCCCAGAGGAGGTGGGAGATGGTGGGGGCCGGTGGGGGCGGGCCAGCTGTGGCCCCAGCTCCTCCCCAGGGCTCCCCTTGCCTCCAGCACAAGCACTTCACCGAGGACATCCAGACTCGCCAGTACCGGGCCGTGGAAGTGCTGATCGGAGCGGAGTACGGGCCCCCGGCCGACATCTGGAGCACAGCGTGCATGGTATGCCCCAGCTGCTCCAGCCTCGGGCCGGCCCGCTGGCTGGCAGCCTCATCCTCTCCCCCCTTCCAGGCCTTCGAGCTGGCCACCGGCGACTACCTATTCGAGCCTCACTCTGGAGAAGACTACAGTCGCGACGAGGGTAGGGGAAGGCCGGCCCTGGGCTCAGCCTCGGGGCCTCCCGGATGCCCAGCCGCCTCCCAGCCTCCTCTCTGTCCACAGACCACATCGCCCACATTGTGGAGCTTCTGGGAGACATCCCCCCAGCCTTCGCCCTCTCAGGCCGCTATTCCCGAGAGTTCTTCAACCGGAGAGGTAGGGCCGAACAGGCTCAGTTCACCTGGATGTAGACGGTAGGGCAGGGACCACAGGTTCCAAAGCAGGGGGAGCACTGCCTCCCAGAGCCAGAGGCCTTCCTGGCAGGGCCTAACACACGGCCCGTGACCCGCCCCCAGGAGAGCTGCGGCACATCCACAACCTCAAGCACTGGGGCCTGTACGAGGTGCTCATGGAGAAGTACGAGTGGCCCCTGGAGCAGGCCACGCAGTTCAGCGCCTTCCTGCTGCCCATGATGGAATACATCCCGGAAAAGCGGGCCAGCGCGGCCGACTGCCTCCAGCACCCTTGGCTCAACCCCTAGGCCCCACGGGCACTTTGTGCAGCTTGAGGCCAGCCTGGCTCACCCTCAAGCCCCTCCCAGTGCCTTCAGGGAAAGGGGGACGCCTCCTGCCACCCGGCACGAGCTGCCCTCCTCCCCCCTACTGGGTGCCAGCTTCCTCACAGCCCGTGGCAGGGCAGAGAGATGCTGGAGCCAGGCCCACCGTTTAGAATTCGTTCTGCCCCCAACCCTCACAACATGCCCTGAGTGGGAAGTGTGCGTATTTCTTTTCTTAATAAAGTGTGAACTGAAACGTTGGCATCCTGGAGTGACAGAAGCGCACCGGCCGAGGCCGAGAGCCGGGACAGAAGCTGATTTATTCTGGGGCTGCCCACCCAAACTGGCCGGCGTGCGGGGAGTGGGCAGGGGGAGTGCGCTGAGGCGCTCCCAGGGACGGCCTAGGCCTCCACGGCACGGCCGTTGATGATGCGGATGTGGCGGATGATGTCCTGGATGGCTTCCGATGTAGTGCCTTGGCCCCCGATGTCTGGGGTGTGCATCTGCGGGACACGCGCCAGCTTGAGCACACGCCAGGGGCCCGCCCGTGGTCTCCCATGGCTAGCAGGGGCCGCAACTGCGGCAGGAGGGCAGTGGCACCAGCTAAGGCCCAGAAAGCCCTACCCGCCCTGGTCCCACCCTCCCCTTGGGGGCAGCAGGAAGCACCAGGTCACCACCTCCAGCCCCTCAGGTGACACACCAGCTCAAGTCCCAATCGAGGAGGGAGTTGGGCGGAAGGCAGGGGAGGGGAGAAGAGGAGCCTCACATTTTCGTTGTCCATGGACGCCAACACGGCCTTCCGGATGGACGTGGCATAGGAATGGAGCCTAAGGAGGGAGAGCAGCTTTCAAGCCCTTGGGGCCTGGGGGCTGGCCGGGGGCTGACAGCTGGGCATCAAGAAGTGGCTTACTTGAGGTGGTCGAGCATCATGCAACTTGCCAGCAGCGTGGCTGTGGGGTTGGCAATGTTCTTATTGGCGATACTCTTGCCCGTGTTCCTTGTAGCCTAGAAGGGACCAGACAAAGGTGGTGGTGAAGGTAAGAACGTAGGGTATGTGATTCCACTGGTGTGAAGCACCCAGAAAAGGCAAATCCACAGAGACAGAAAGCAGATCAGTGGGTGCCAGGGGCGGGGGCCGGGATTGGGAGTGCTTGCTAATGTGGCCGGAGTCCCCTTTCAGGGTGCCAGAAATGCTCTGGAATTAGACAGAAGTGACGGTTACACGATACTGTGCGTGCAGTTAATACCCCTAAATTGCTCACTTTAAGTGGTCTCACCCCGTTACGTAAATTTTGCCTCCTTTTTAAAAAAAAAAAAAAAAAAGACTTAGAAACTAACCAATAGATCAACAAAATGTGGTCTCTCCATATGATGAAATATTATTCAGCCATCAAAAGGAACGAAGCTCTGAGCCGTGCTACAGTGTGGATAAGCCTTAAAAATACTATGCTGGGGTTAAAAAAAAAAACAAAACTGTGCCAAGGGAAAGAAGCTAATCGTAAAAGCCCATGTGGTGTAAGACTCCATTTGTAGGGACGCCTGGGTGGCTCAATCCGTTAAGCGTCTGACTCTTGATTTTGGTTCGGGTCATGATCTCAGGATCCTGAGATGGAGCCCCCCGTTGTGCTCTATGCTCAGCGTGGAGTCTCCCTTTCCCTCTGTTCCCCCCGCAAGCGTGCGCTCACGCTCTCTCTCTAAAATAAATAAATAAGGGGCGCCTGGGTGGCTCAGTTGGTTAAGCGTCTGCCTTGGGCTCAGGTCATGATCCCAGGATCCTGGGATCAAGCCCCGCATTGGGCTCCCTGCTCAGCAGGAAGCCTGCTTCTCCCTCTCCCACTGCAGCGCCCCCTGCTTGTGTCCCCTCTCTCGCTGTCTCTCTGTCAAATAAGTAAATAAAATCTTTAAAAATAAAAAAAATAAAATAAATAAATAAATTCTAAAAAAAAAAAAAAACCTCCATTTACAGAAAATAGAAGAGGCCAATCCACAGGGACAGAAAGCAGATGAGTGGTGGCCAGGGGCTGGGAGGAGGGGCACGGGAGTGACAACTAACAAGTACAGGGTTTTCTTTTGGGGGGGATGATAACATTCTGGAATGAGATAGTGGTGATGGTTGCACAACTCTGAATAACCTAAAAGCACTGAATCCTTACACTTTCAGTGAACTGGATGATACGCGAGCGATATGGCACAAAGGGTCCAGGAGCCCTGGCGCCACTCACCGTCTCGAACACAGCGTACACGTGGCCATAGTTGGCCCCAGCGACGAGGCCAGGGCCCCCGACCAGTCCCGCGCAGACATTGTTGACAATGTTACCATAGAGATTGGGCATCACCATGACATCGAACTGCTGGGGCCGGGACACCAGCTGCAGGACAAGGAGACAGACAGGAGCTTGAGCACGGGCAGTCCACGGTGACCGAGGCAGGCGGCCGGGGAGCCCAGCAGGCTAACTACCTGCATGGTGGTGTTGTCCACGATCATATTCTCGAAGGTGATCTGGGGGTAGCGGGCCGCAACTTCCTTGCAGCACTGGAGGAACAGCCCGTCGCCCAGTTTCCTAGGAGGGGGCATAAGACACCAGCTTGGCCACTGTTAGTAGTCCCCTGGAGGGACAGGGCGTGCAGATGGCCACAGAAGTGGGGCTGTAACCTCTAACCAGTCCCCCGTCTGTAAGACAGGCATAACCCCACTCTCCCTCCCCGAAGTGTGCACTGTGGTAAACCCGCATCTAGGGAATAGGCAAGAGGGCAGAGCCCTGAGCACGGCCCCTTAGTGGGCGGCCGGTGTTCTGGGCCCCAAGTCCCTGAGAGCAGGCCCAAGGAGCGTGTGCAATTCAGCGGTTTCACAACTGCTTGCAGAACGGGCAGGAGCACAGCAGGGGTGGGGCATACATGATGTTGGCCTTGTGTACGGCTGTCACTTTCTTGCGCCCACTCTCCTGGGCCAGTTTGAAGGCATATTCAGCAATGCGCAGGGACTTGGCCTTGGTGATGATCTTCAGGCTCTCCACCACTCCAGCCACACTCTGGGACAGGGACAGAGAGGAGAGACCCTCTGGCACAGGTTTCTCTTTGGGTCTGGCCTTCCTTACTGCAGACCCTCGCCAGGCTCATCCCCAGCCCCCACGACCCAAGGGGATAAGGGGACAGCCCAGGCCTCACCCACCTCATGTTCTAGGCTGCTGTACTCGCCCTCTGTGTTTTCCCGGACAATGAGGATATCTATGTCCCTGTGCCGGGTCACCACTCCTGGCAGGCTCTTACAGTGGATGACATTGGCATAGAGGTCCAGGCTGGTGCTGGGGACCCAGAGAGAAGAAAAGCTGGCCAATGCCACAACTATCTGCTGGCACGCTCCACCCGCACTGAGCCCCGACCCCGCGCACCGGGTTCTCACCGAAGGATGTTGTTTCGGGATTTGTGGGATGGTGGCAGGTTATGGTTTGTTTCGATGTTGCCTGCCAAGACAGAAAGAAGACAGGCTGGAGAGGGGGCCCCCAGGCTCAGCCACGCCACCATACTCCCCTTCCTGAGCAAGGGAACGCGTGCCAAAGGCAGCTCCAACCCAGGCAGAAGATGGCTTTCACCAGCAGGAAGACTTCACAGAACGCCCGAGTGTAACATCCACCGTAAGCCCTGTGAGGACGGAGGGCGGGGCACTTGACAAATACTGACGGACTGAATGAATGAACAAATGAATGGACAAGGGTTGGCAGCTAGCCAAGAGATCTTGCCAGACCCTGGGCAGGAAATGGCAAGATCAGGGTCTGGCTGGATAGAAAGTGACCACTCCTGCTTACTAACAGGCTGGCTAGCCAGGCTGGCGCCAGCAATGTGACCTTGGCCAGCGTCACTGTTAGGCCCCACGTCGAGGTGCCACCTGAGCCCCAGCTCAGGGGCAGGTGGGGGCCGTCTGGGAAACACTAGAGCTTGGCCTGGGCTGCACCCAGGGCAAAAAGAACAGGAGCAGCAGGGGGCCAGCAGTCGCCGGGAAAAGGCGGTCCATCAGAGAGTGCCAAGTAGAGCAGGCTTTTCTCAGGGCCCCCTGGGGCCATCACCCCCTCCGAGTCACACCCTGCCTACACTGCCTTTGCCCAGTGTCTTAGGCACCTTGCAGTTGCCACGTCAGCCCCTCCTCCGGACTGCCGGGGCCTGGGGCTCAAGCTGGATTCAGCTTTGCTCACACAGAGCAGGTAATGGGCTCTAGTTTACAAAATGAGTAATACAAAGAGTTTAAGAACGCGTACCAAACCACGGCAAACTCAGGAAGGGCTAAAATTCCTGTCTGCGACACCCACAGTTGTGCTGGCTGGAGCCAAGGCAGCGGGTGAAGGGCAAAAACTGCATCTCTGTGACATCTGGTTTATGAAAAAGGTTCTGAGGGTCAAAGCTGACCCCAGCAGAGGGGCTGCCCCAGGAGAGAAGGGAGTGGGAGGAAGCCCTTTACCGAACAGGCTCCCACAGAGTCTATCACAGAATCGCAGCGCGGACAGGACCCCAGAAGCTTCTGTTCACTCTCCAAGCACAAGGGTCCTCCCTAGCCAGAAAAGCCCTGAAGTCACAGTTGGACGGCCCCAGGGACAAGCATCAGCTTGGAAGTGAGAGGAATCGTGCATGGTGTCCCACCCTGGCCCCCCGAACTCACCCTTCAGGGCCACACGGTTCCGACGGATGGCCATGATGGCGTTGCGGATGTCCTCTTCATCAGCATTGGAGCTCACGTGTACCTCTTCAAAGTCCACCGGCACACATGCGTGCCTGGGGCAGAACTGGGTCAAGGTGGCTGGCCCCAGGCGCCCCCCATGCGTCCTCTAGGAAGCCTGCTTGGACCACTGGGTGCAGAGGCCTCTCCACTGCCGCCCACCCTGACCTGGCTCTGGCTGAGAGGAGACTGGGCCCACCTGCGCCAACTAATGGAGAGACGCCTGAACTCTACAACCGTTAGCAGGACTGGTGGCACCTTCCCCAGGCCCAGGCCAGCCTGACAGGATCATAGGCACAGGGACGAAAAGCCTGGGCGTACAGCTCTCCTGCCACTGGTTCACTGGGTGCTCAGGCGAAGCCCCAGCCAGTGGGCTTCTGGGCTCACTGCCCCTCTCGGCACAGTTCTCAAGCCATCCCCCCCCAGGTGGGCCTGGGGTACAACCTCCCCTAGGGGTACAGGAGGTGGGCCCAGGGGCTGTGTACCTGAACACAGACTTGACATGCAACATGAGCTCTGGCCCGATGCCATCCCCCGGGATCATGGTCACTGTGT